AAAATTAATTGAGTTTAATGTAACTTTAAGCCCCAAATAAATAGGATTTTTCAAACATAATTTAGCACAGTGGTGAATAGAGTATTACATTCTCTCTACTTTTATATTTCAAAAAAAAAATTATTTCTACTACTCTTTCTTTCTCACATGCATATATTTTTTTCTTTCACTTTCACTCTACACTATTACATAACTGAATTTCTTATATATTACCTAAAGTAGGTAAACACATGTAGAAAATAATAACAGTGAATCGACCCCAAGATAGAGGTGACTTCAAGTATCAGACTTATAGAATGTTGGGAATCTGGAATGATAGTAGTAGATTGAAGAAAAAGCGCAATATAGAGTTAAACTTCAAAACTAAAGAAAACAGAGACTGCAAAGTGTTATATTTTGTTATAATTTTACAAGTTTAAATATGCCTATTTATATGCTTAAATATAATTAAAGATCTCAATAAAGAACTTGAAGAAGAAAAAAAAAATTAAATCCTTTGAGCATTTTCTCTTTATAAGTTATATGATTCATGAAAAAGATCGTATATATTCGTAATAATTTTATAAAAAGTCACATTAATCTTTAACTGCTTAATAAATTTATTTTTGACTGTTACAAAAAGATAGAAGTCACATTTTTTAAAAATTTTGTCTCTATTCGAGGACTAGTTTCTTATCAAGTATGTAAACATTCTCTTGCATGTCTATCTTCGTCCTTTTGTGATAAGTTCTGAATACAACAATTTGGTGTCTCTGTCTATCCTCTTTTATCAAGCTTGAACACAGTCATTTCACAATGGCTCGAGGAACACCGTCAAAAGTATGGTCAAAACTATGTCGTTTTCTATTGGAGCTAGACCGGCCTTCATGCAACTTTCGAGCCAGGCTAAAGTCCTGTTGGTTGGGCTTCTTTTCTGGGCCTGTTCAATTAAAAGGGTTAGTGGGTTTGAAATCAGAATGCTTCTGGACTGGGCATTCCTTTTCTTTTCCTGTTTCAATACTATAAATTGTTTATGTCATTTATGGTAGGTGTTTTCTTTGGTTTTGGTTTCATTCCAAATTCATATTTCAGCAATGTCAAACATGAGTAAGAAGTTGTACAGCCAATACAAGCTTCACAATTCATAAATTTCCAATATGTCCTACAACCAACAATATGGAGAATATTAATCATACAATAATAAGAAGACATCAAATCATGCTAAATTCTCAAATGCAAGAAACTCTATATCAATTTAAAAGAACATTGCTTTAATATTAAAAATTAGAATATTTATTTATTTTACAACATATAAAAAACATAACCTTATCTTCAGTAACGTATACACATTCCTCTCAAGCGGTGAACTTGAGCAACTGAACAGCGTTAAAGTTGACGCGAAACAAGACAACGTTAGAGGTGTCATAAAGCTAGAGAGAGAGAGAGAGATCTCGAAACAAGTGCGAATGTTGGAAGCCAAGGAAGCAAAAAAGCGAAACGCATGGCTAAAAATGGCGGCACCGCTACACCATCACAAATAAACCCCATTTTATCTTCGACGCCTCCATTTGTATTGCTTTAAACTGGGGGGCTACTCCATGACTGCTACAAGTTTTTCTCTGGTAGGAACCAGGAGCAGAGATTATGATGAAGTTGTGATGGGTTCCCACCATCATCATGATCATGGGTCATCATCATCATCCGCATCACCATCTTCTGCTACCGTTCTTGGTCTTGCTACCGGTTTTGAAGGTGGACCCATGTTTGCTAACCCAAGCATTTACCAACTATGTATGGGCGATATATACGAGGTTGTCGGTTCTGTTCTGCCTGATCCATCTTTTGCGTTGGATTCTTCTGGTAAAGTTCTCTCCTTTGTTCAACCTCTGTTTTAA